TTAAATCTTCGGTTTGCGATTAAAAATATCATTCCATTTAGAAAGGGGGAAAAAAACGGGGTCTGGATTTGATAAATATACTCTTTAAGAAATGAATGTTTCTTTAATTTAAAACTCCCGAGAGACTTAAGAGGTTCGTTTTATCATCTCCTAATCATTCATCTTTAATAGAATTAGAGGAGATGAAATACCCCGAAAAAAATAATTAAGGGCTTAAGTGTATATCAAGAAAGGGAGTCGCTTGCTGATTCGATTAAAACTAACGTTTGGAACAAGCAAAATAAACATTGTCGTTTTATTAAAGGGGAGACCTCTTGTTGTTAATACATTTATTCCCCCTGCGTTGACACAGACTTTATTATCGTCATTTTGTTCACGGAATACAGTTACTTCTAGTCTCACTTGTGAGCAACCAAGCAGAAGAAACGACCTGTTAGTAGAATTACTTACCAGTAAATCTTTATTGTTTATATTTGTGTTTAACATAACCTAATCAAGTTCAAATTGTTACGCTTTGTTACCAATTGACAGTCAGCAAATCTGTTGCGAAGTGTTTTGCCCGCCCCAAAGCCTGAGAAACCCTCTCTCTTCACAGCCCCGCCATTTGATGGATGAAACTTTTTCAAATTCAATTTCTAATTAATTACCTCATCTCGAAAAGCTAGAATCCAAACAGAGATATTTGTTATTCATAAATAAGGCTGCGAAGCTACATTTTCCGAAAGGCTATCAGCAACACAAAATGAATTCAGCCGGATGATATGTAACGTAATAGGCAAAGATATAGTGTAGGTATGATTTATTGTTGTGTCTAGAAACAACTCTAAAAAAAATACTAATATATATATATATATATATATATATATATATATATATATATAGATAGATAGATAGATAGATAGATAGATAGATAGATAGATAGATAGATAGATAGATAGTGCGATGGATAAATTGTCATCTGAATTACACAAAAATGAAAATAACACTGACATCTCATTTTAACATATATATAAATTACACAAAATTATGTTGAAATACTAAAAAGGAAATTCTTTTTACTAAATTTGCCATTGGCTTCAAACATGGCTTCCAGACGAATTCGGAATCTCCTAAAACTCTTCTGAACGGTCTCCTTCTTTAAGTTGGTGAATGCTGCCATAATCCTTGCCTTCAGTTCATCTTTGTTGTTACTAGGAACGTTATTGGTCTCTCGTTCAACTGCGTCCCACACATAGAAAGAAACCGTTATTTGACTCCTCTCTTTAAAACTAACAGGGCGGTGTAACAGAAGAAAGAAACTTCTCTCTGTTAAATTTTAATCCCTACCTTCACCTTTAGGCATTCCTGTTCTTCTTTCTTCTGTTACACCTCTCTCTAGAGCTTTCATAGATTTCCCCCTCACACTTGATTCCCACTCCCACACATACACTCTCACTAAAATTTTGTTTTTTTATACTCGGAGTTATATTTTCCGATTTCTTTTTGAATTTGTAGGTCTGATGAATTGGATCGTGATTACGATTCCAATGTAATAAATTATAACCACGGAATATTAGTGTTTCAGCCTGTATTCTAGCCTCTTGGGAATTTATATATATATATATATATATATATATATATATATATATATTGACCACTAATATCATCAATATATATATATATATATATATATATATATATATATATATATTAGAATGTGCACCTTATTTTTTATATCATAAAGAAACATTTTATACAAAGAATTAAATAGCAATGTTAATGTATTTAATGGCGAAATCACTTCGCTAACAGAACTTAATAAGACATAGACTTATGAATTTCTTGAATAATAAGATCCTTATGTAAGACACATGCTAAGTACTTTCGACAATTTCAAATTGTCATCTTCAGAGCGCAATTTCCCCATACATTAGGACGAAATATGTGCAGACCGAAACACTTTTTTTTTTTTTAATTATACTAGTTATTGACAGTTAAATATATGCTTTGGAGCGTGCGCTGCCTCGACGATAGAGTTCTAGCATGTGTCTTCCATCTAACAACAACTTTTGATTTTCTATCTGTTTATTTTTCTTAAACAGTAAAATTAGTAACAGCCGGGCTGATTGATTGAGAAGTTGTGTTAAAAATAGATAAATTCCTTTTTTAAGATTCCTTAAATAGGTAATTCAAATCTTGCTTTACTAACGCCGTCGTCGCAAACGAATTGATAAAGGCACATTTCAGCTATAGAAACGGTTTCCTTGATGGAAAAGAGGATACAGGTTCGATTCCTGTCAGAATCTTTCTTTAGTACCACTCCTCAGTGTAGGCCAGTTGTTATTAATTTCACTGTTAAAGAAAAAAAATGAAAATAAAAGAAAACAGGGATATCAACTGAAAAACGTCTACACACTAAAAATAACGTTCATAGTAATAAAAAAATAATGTATAAAAATGCATTCAAAAATTACTGTTGTTCGATATTGATGCTAGTGTATAATAGATTCATGCAAATCCCAAAGAGAAAAAGTGTGCATTCCTTAAATGGGCGATTCAAAATTTGCTCTATCAACGTTGCCTCCGTAATCTAATTGGTAAAATCACATTTCAGCTAAAAAAACAGTGGAAAAGGAAATACAGTTTCGATTCCTGTTGGAGGAACACCCTCTGTAGGACCTTTCGGGTGTTATTAACTTCGCTGTTTAAGAAAATGGAGAAAATAGGGATAGAAACTCGAAACACGTAAACCCACTAAGAATAAAGTTTATAGTTATCTTTCTCTCTATCTATCTCAGGTTGTCCATCACCCTCTCTCTATATCTATCTATCTATCTATCTATCTATCGCAGCTTGTCTCTGTCTCTCTCTTTCTATCTATCTATCTATCTATCTCAGCTTCTCTGTCTGTCTGTGTCTCTCTCTCTATCTATTTAACTATCTATCTCAGCTTCTCTGTGTCTCTTTCTCTCTCTCTCTCTCTCTCTCTCTCTCTATCTATCTATCTATCTATCTATCTATCTCCGCTTGTCCGTTTCTCTCTCTCTCTCTCTCTCTCTCTCTCTCTCTTTATTTTTGGATTTTGGTGGGAATAAATTAGCAATCCTTAGTTTGTTTCAGAAGAATAAGAGTATGAATCTGTCGGATTCCGATCCATATTTTATTCATATTGGATCAGTATATATATATATATATATATATATATATATATATATATTAAGAAAAACAGGCTTCTCACGCCCTGTAGCTGTTGTCTCTCTTTCCATTATTGTCACTGACTTGCTTCCTAACCCTGTGCTTGAACGTCAACATTTTGGTTCGAGTTAGATGTACTATCCATTTTAGCTGTTTTTTCTGTAAAAAGTCCCCAAGTGTTTTAGTTTCTGTTATTTGGTGCAGTTCTTTGAGATTCTGCCGCGCCAGTCTAAGAGCTTCAAAGAAAGATGATCCACGCGTATACTTGGCTTGAAGCTATGGACTCAAGTCAATGAAACAAGAAGCTACGGTGGTTATATCAGTGGAATATGCTTTGCAGGTGAATATTCGTTGACGAGATGATTACGCTTAATTAATTTTTTTCAACTGGCATCATGCAAATAATTACTCAAGTTTCTAGCACAAGAAAAGCCATAAACACCTTTTTTCTTAGACTTGAATCGGCTGAGAATTTTCAGCATGAAACCTCTTCTTAAATAGCCCAGATTTTACAAGCTCGTTTATTTCCAAATTTGGATTTTCCATTAATCAGCTTCGTTCTAGTTTGAAATGAGAGTTCCTTTTACGTTACAGTGCCCCAATGAGCCTTAAAGTAAAACCTCAAATTGTAGGTTTGTATTTCTGAGTTAAGATTATGGAATTTTACCACATATTATAATTGATTTTTAAACGGAGAATTTCATTTTGTTTATAAAATGGAAAAAAATGGTCGATTTTCTGTCAATTTTGCTGACTCAAAAAAAAAAAAAATTTCAAGGAAACTTTCGAACGTGCTAGGAACGAAAAAAAAATAATAATAAAAATACTTTCATCATTCCTCTTAATAACATAAACATTTAGACAATGAAAATTTATTTTCATCAAGTTTAAAGCCCTTTTCATTCATGCTATGCTCTTTTTTAGCTATCTCTCGGAGGTACCTAGTTTAATGATTCTGTATGTCATGATTGTAAAGCTTTAATTATACAAAGTTGATTTTAAAAAGTCCTATCGGCTGTTTGAAAATATTAAACATTAATACATTATTTACACTATTTTATCACCACTTATTGGATTAGTTAATATCAAAATTAGTCTTTTTTTCTAAATTATTATATTGCATTCTATAAGCTTTCACTTGGTTCTGGAATAGATCGTTTATATTTGTGTCTGTAGGCGCTTACTTAGGGAATAGATAAATATTTCCCGTTTGTATTTAAGTATGTGTGTAAATATTGGACGTTTATATTTGAGTCCCTAAGCATTTATTTAGTTCGGAGATAGGTAAATATAGTTTAATTCTGTGGCTCACTGAGCTAATTGTTGGATGGTGTCCACATTCATAGCACTCTGGTTACCTTGGCATCGCTATGAAGATAGACCTTCCGGTATTTTGCCGCTGTCGTATATGTCACAAATTTCATTTATCATTTAGGTAATCATTTAGGTAAAAAAATTCCGTATTCATAATACGGAATTTTTTTCAAAAAGGGAGGGGGAATTTTTTTCCATTGAACAAAGCAAAAGACAAAGACCTGAAAAGATATAGCAAAAAAAATCGTACTTCACATATTTCAACTCTTTTGAACTATTCCCTATAAAATAAAAGGCTTACGGCCATATCACGTCAATCAATGAAGTTAAGCAGCGTTGAGCCTTGTCAGCACTTAGATGGGAAACCGTTACGAAAGACCAGATACTGTGTGCTTAATTGGGTAGATGAAAATCTTTTGCTTGGAAAGAGAAGGAAAACTGATAAACTTTTGGCCATGTTTAATTATAGTAAAAGCTTCAGGATTAAACCCTGAGTATCTAATCCATTTGGCTTATGGCTATATCACGTTGAAAGACCGAGTCCTGTAAGATCCCTGAAGTTAAGCAAAGTCGAGCCTGGTCAGTACCTAGATGGGTGATCATTGAGGAATACATGGTGATGTAAGCTTAGATGTGCCTGTGAAATAATGGCTCAAAATTGTTAATCATAGAGCAGAGTTCCAGTTTCAGAACGATTCGTTATATTAATTTACGCGTTAATATACTTGGGAAAGGTATGAATCCACTTCTACTCCCTCAACTATGGGTTAATTAGTAAGATTTGTATCCCTAAACTATTATTATCTAAAAAAATACTTCTTACAATTTAAAACCATTTTCTGGATTTAAGTCATCTGCAAAGGGTTGCTAAGCCGTAGAAAACGAATCAATCAAATCCATGTTGTAAACCCCGATCAGTATTTGGTATCAAAATGTTGCAACCTGAACATTTGCTGGTCATCATCCGTGACATTGGAGTTCAAGTATACAGTTCAAGATGGTGTTGATGGTGGTCTGTAAACTACCTAGTGATCTAAATCTCTTCTGTAAACGTTTTTCTGTTTTCTTAATCTTTAGAAGACAGCATTTCATATCCAACTTGTGGGAAATTCTTTGCTTTCGAGTTGAGATCAAATGTTCCAATATCAAATAATCCAACCCAACGATGGCGAAATGGAGAAAAACATTGTCGATAAGGACAGGCTACCCTGCCGCCGCATTGACTATATTTCCATGGTATTTTGAACGTTCAAAAACAATTCCGTAAAAGATACTTTTACCCATTACACGCAAATGGGTTTTCTTCAGGCCCGACGAATGGATGCACGCTTAACGAGGCTCCATGATTTAAATGTCTAATGGGTCTCAAGTTCACCATAGACGTTAACGAGCGTCTCTTTGATAAAAGATATGCTCTGTCTATATCTCTGAGATTAGGTATTATGTTTACTTACATTATTTATATTATTCGGACTGTTGTCTTCAACTTCATTGCCATATTCAATACGTTTCGACCGTTGTACGCTCCGGCCTTCTTCGGGTGATTGGATTTTGAAACGAACCTTTTAGTTCGTCCACCGGAAGAGGCATGACACGTGGAACTAGAACAATCTGCCTCGGTAGATGAAATAAAGGGTTAGGTTCAAAATTCCAATCACCTGAAGTAGGCCGGAGCGTACAACGGCCGAAACGTTGTGAATATGGCTATGTATATGAGGATAACAGTCCGAATAATGTAAATAATGCAAGTAAAAGATCTGCTTTTTACTAATAAATTTTGATATTTTAGAAATATTTTGGTTTCGCCTGTAGGTAAAACAGTGGACTGTTGACGATGAGGTTCTGCAGTTTCATTTCAAATGCTACACATTTCGGTAGAAAAAATACAAGATGAAACTCGCTCCTTTGAACATCGAACGGTTCTCATGTTTATTCCAGACCCCAAGTGGAACAATCCATTTCTAAAGATGCTGGAAAAAATAGTCAGCTCATTCTATCGTTACAAGAAATGTCTGACTCAATATGTCATACAATATCTTTACAAGTCAATTAATGGACTATTGCGGTGACATTTCTTTTTATCAATTCGCCCCGAGCAAGGCGATAATGGGAATAAGACGCAAGAAGATACTACCAGTGAAAGAAAATAAGAAGGCTTTAGAAGGAAGCATAAACTCAATCCCAAACAAGGTATAAACATCTACTCCTGTTCAAAAATCCGGGGAGGAGTGGGGACCGGACAATAGCCAAACCTATCTATTCCTATTGAAATTGGTTTAGTTTTATTTCATTTTGTCATATTGGTCATTATGTTATAAGATGGAAAAATGCCAAGAATAATAGTCACTGAAGAGTTTCTAAGACAGAAAAACCGGCTGGAATATGGCACTGACTACAGCATAGTGTTGCCTCAAGGTAGCCCACTGGAAGTATTTGCACGTTATGCCATTGCAAGAACCCCAATATTGTACGACTGGTTATCAAAACAGCCTTACTAAGAATTATCAGAGAGTTCGGGCTCCTTACTACCAATCGGGATAAGAAAATAAAGATAAAAGGAAAAATAAATAAGATAAAATTAAGAACGATGAGAAAGGCGGTGAGGTTCCAGGTGTGGGATTAACTTCAAATATATGTATTTTGCTATGGAGCTTAGGAATCCATCAGTGTATTATTAACTATTAAGTTTTAACTATGTAGAAGTATAATAATAACTCTTATCAAGTAAACTGTCCTGGGTAAGACGATAAACTACATCCGTGTCCTGGGTAAGACGATAAACTACATCCAGCAGCAAGGCTTCTGATCAGGAGATTTTGAGGAGCGTGGAACCACCTCTTAATTGCTGATGTTCCCAGGTCCACCCTGACCCAGGGTGGTAGCACCTGTTAGGGTCCCAGCTATGGACAAATAGTTAACTATTACCAGCAATATTTTTTTGAAGGGAATTATTTCCAGCAATGCAATTTTGAAGGAAAAATATTACCAGAAGCAGATTTTTAACAAAACAAAATATTACCAGCAATAAAAGATGTTGTCAGCATTAAATAACCCAAAACGTAAAAACAAAATAAACCAAACCAATTAAACCAAAGAATACATATTCTATTCATACGAAATCCTTAAAATATTGTCGACATTAAATAAACCATTGAGGTTGATATGCCGTAAAACAAAATAAACCAAACCAAACTTATCAACTAAAACTGAGCGTAAAATTAATTTACTCTTATCATAACAGTGATTTTGATGGTATCTATTTTAGAGTAGGTACCTAAATGAAACTCGTAAACAGATGCATCAGTCACCAAAATGACTAGAAAAACTGCAAGTGTAAAATCTGCAGCTATCTGTGGACAAATATTTTTTAAAGTATCATAAATTAAAAAGTACAACTTTCGGTGGATTTGTTTCGGCTGCTACTGCTCTATCCTTAATTTTTATCTTTAATAGACTCGAAAGTCGTTTACGTGGTGAGGGAAGACTTTCTCTATTCTTCAGCCTTCTTGTAACAAACGCAACGTCAGTCACCTATCGTTACTCAATCGCTATTTCCATGGCGAATGTTCAGATGAGCACTATTCTTTAGATATACCAGTTATCTTTACTGACACGCCTTGTTACTTCCAAGGAGTCGAATCACTCCCATTTCCTCTGTATTCCAAATATAAGGAGAAAGACAAGTCTTTTTTCCAAGAACCATTACATTTTTGGAACACACATCCACATGGATTTCTTGAGCATTTCAATGTTGCCAATCATCATCTATGCTCGCTAGGCTAATTATCCTTAACATAATCTTCACTTTCTACCTCCTCCACCCTCTCTTTCATTCATATCACTCACATTCAGCATAACTATTTTAATACTAATCCTTTATCTTCAGTGCCTCTCCAGCTTTCTGTTGGTTGATTTTTAGTACTGAAAACCGACAGACATCATTTTTAGCCAATGAAAATTGTCGCCCCTTAACAATGCTTCCCGATCTACGTCAGGTGATATTAATTTGATTGTCTAAGAAAAAAAAAACAAGGATGTCAACTAAAATAGGTGTACACACAAAAATAACGTTTAAAATAATGAAAAATAATCACAAAATTAACGTTTGCGAAAACGAATATAGATTTAAAGAAGTGCCAACGAGAAATGCCCGCTACTTAAAATAGGTAATTATGGAGGGCTTTATCCAGACACCCTCCCGTAGTCAAAATGGTACCAAGTCACTTTAGTTATAAGAATGATTTCCATGATAAACGAAGAAAGGGAATACAGTTTCGTTTCCTGTCGAGAGACACATTTTCATTTAGTAAGACTTCTCAATCTAAGGCGGTTAATACTAATTTTAAATAAGGTTTATCGTAAAAAGTAATACTATTACGTTTTTAGTTCCGTTCTGCATTTGTCTTTTTTCCCTGCTGTTTCAGTATTTTTTCCTATGGTGAATTTATTGTAAGTTCGTATTTTATTTCGTCACTGGCCGAATTACCCGCGCCTTGCGTGTCACACATTTTTTGTAAGAAAATGATGATTGATTTTAAATCATTGTTATAATTTGTAGAGAGAAAAAAAAGATGCATTTCAATATTACACAATGATCTTGCCGATGTGATCTCCATCTTCTGGCTTTCTCCTATCTTTTGGATAAGCATCATTTCCTTGTTCAAATTTAAATTTAATTTAAATCAAAGGGAAAAAAAACTTTGAGTGAAGGGATGTACAAAAACAGCTTGATCCGACCCCTTTGAGATGTATTTGATGCAATACTTGATTGAATGTATTGATGAGCAGATTTCAACATTGTTATGACAGTTGAAGTGTCGAAACAAATATGTATTGTAAGGCACTACCCACCGATTGATGATTTCTTGCTCAACTTGATGTCCATATTGTCTCATTTTGATCTTACCGATGTGACCTCCATCTTCTTGCTTTCTCCTCCTGTATTTTGGATAGGAGTCATTCCCTTGTTTAAATTTAAATTTAATTTAAATCAAAGAGAAAAAAAATCAGTAGGGGTTTGTGACCTTAATGACCCCTTTGATCAAAATGAAATATACTTATCTAAGTACCCTGGATAATTCAGTTTCAGAATATATTTGGTTAAGGGGGTGTAGGAGGAACTTGATAACAAACAAACAGGCAGATAGAGGCTACAACCTTATATATATATATATATATATATATATATATATATATATATATATATATAAATATATATATAGACCAGTTAACTACATGATGATCTTCAGTGTGATTAATGGATTAACTGATTTGTTTTTAACGGCTTGTCAACTTCTTGCAGGTTATTTTAAGCCATAAAATATTTTTAGAGCGTAAAAATTTTTTAGACATAATAATTATTTACTGATATGCGCTACTAATTAACCCATATCTGGGGGTGGAGAAGAGGTGGATTCATACATTTTCTAAGGGCATTTTCACATAAGTGAATATAACGAACCCAACTAGAAGTGGAACTCGGCTCTCAAATGTCTCTCATATCGGACCGTTATCCATTACGCCACCAGCGCACCTAAGCTTACAGCAGCTGGTATTCCCAAGCGGTTACCATCTAGAAATTGACCGGCTTCGACGTTGCTTAACTTCGATGGATTGTAGGAGAAGT